CTGCTGATGACCAAAGATCATGCTAGCGTAACCACCAGTATAGCGTRTGATTGTAATAGCGTGTGATTAGCGAATATAGGCGGCTAGCATGCAGTCAACAAACAGCGGTTATCGTAGACTATTCGCTGCTACACAGATCGAGTCTAACTTTGCCTAAATTTCATTTAACCACATAACAAATAACATTTATTCGCCAAATGCGAAGTAAATATCGAGGAATATTTACTGAGACGCGAGTGAATATAATACATAATGGAGAGAGAGTTTCCCCCTCCCATTTTCCCATTCTCATCCCAATCTAGAGCCTTAACGTACTAACAAATCACTTATGATTGTAAACTGCACGGCTGCTAATAGCGCCTTAATATGCAGCCAGTAAAGTCCTTCACTGAGCACAGATGTAAAGCGCATTGAGCCATCAAGATAAGATTTGGGAAATCTCCGACTTACAGAAAACGTGCTTGTGCGGAGATATTTTTGACGTTGACCATGCGATGATTTGCAGCAGGGGTGGTTTTGTGATACGACGCCACAACGAGCTTCGAGATCTGGAAGCTGAACTGCTGAGCACTGTATGTAGTGATGTTGAGGTGGAGCTGGTTCTTCAGCAGATAACCGGAGAGACTATGAACAGGGGWGCGAATAGAGCCCCCGACACCCGTCTCGACATCCACGCCGAAGGTTTCTGGGTGCAGCAAAAAGCTGCATTCTTTGATGTCCGGGTATGCCACCCAAATGCAGACTCCTACCGTGAGCAGACTCCCGAGCAAGTGTATAGGCAACATGAGAGTGAAAAGAAACGCCAATATGCCAACAGGGTCATGCAGGTGGAACAAGGAACGTTTATGCCGTTAGTGAATGAATTGAATAAATGAATTAACTTTATTTATCCACGGTAAACGACTCAGTTTCACTGCCTTTCAGGCGTGCCGTGCAGTATTTAGTACAACAGGTGGAATGGGCACAGAATGCAAGATTTTCCACAAACGCCTAGTTGAGCTTTTATTGATTAAAAAGGGAGAGAGCTATGCAAG